GCGTCTGCCGCTGTGTTCGCAGGCTGCCCGACGCCGCCGCAGACGCGCCGCCGCTTCTTCCTCAGCCCCAAGGCCCTACGCAGCCCCTGGGGCCAGCGAGGGCCCCGCGAGGCTGGCGAGCACCCGCCCGCACTCTCAGGTACGCATGCGCACTGCGCGGGCCGCTAGCCTGCCGGGCGTCGCACCCCGGGTGATCCACGTCGGTTGGACACTGTTTTCTCATGCTTCACCATTGGCCCATCAACATTACTACCTCACATCGATGAAAACTATGCATCCCAACCCACAACACGAACCACTGAGAATTGGACTTCATTGCTTTCAACTCCAGTCACTCTGAAAATGCGTAAAGTTACACAATTGAAGATAGATGAATATACGTACATATGAAGATAAATGAATATACATACTTATTATTCAATTATTATGTACGTACTTTCCAAATTTAATTGGATTCTTTATCATGTTAAAACTGCAATGCGTTTACAAAATATTTAATTACGTTTCCGTCGTAATTATGAGCTACTTTGCAATCTGCACTTGTAGAATAGAAATCCTCCATTTTGATGTATCATTTGATTAATTTGAACCTAATTCATGTTGCTTGTTGCTACGCTTTCTATTATTACCCAAGGTATATGCTGATAAAATGACGTAGAAGGGCGGGCATGCCTTTATTTTGCTTTTTAGAAAGAGAATAATACGAAGAGCATGAAATCGAGGGGGAAATTTGTTATATTTACTGCTGTTACACTGTTGTTTGCAGGAAAACTTTGTACTGACCACACTTAAATAATTTTTATTGCTGTGATAAATTTCTCATTACTTAATCATTAAAAATGTTGCAATAAATTGAAATTATTGCGATATTAATTGAAAGATAATTTTTCGTTATATTTCGTTCGTTTGATATGAATATCAAAATATAGCAAATAAAGTTCGACAGAATTTGGTTTTATTATAGCGAATCGTACTTAATGAAGTTTATATTTTACGTAAACGATCTCAAACACAAAACTGAAATAAGAATTTCACAATGTACAGAATATATACTGAATTTCCTTAGTTAAGTGGTATTGTTCGTGACTTTCTATTACGTCACTTCTTATTATTCATTTACAACTGATTATTATTTTATTCAGTGACCCGAAATTTCAAAGTAGATTAGTGTTATTTTGGTTCTCGCAAGGTAAGCAAGATTACCTTCCAGGAATATCCCTGTTTCGTTAGCAGCAACAGAAAAGCAGAAGAGTTCCATGAAAACAGTTGATAGGTCTCTATTTATTGACTCTAAAGAACGGCAAACTTGGTATATTATTCCTCGAGCCAAAGAAGAGGTTAACACTGATAAATCAATGGGTATCTTCGCTCTGCGGGAGGTGGTTTTCGAATTTGTCTCTTCTTATTTGTCATCGCTTTGTGTATAAACCAGCAGAAAATCCGTGTTATATCAGTTCTTAACCTCGCATTCTCCATCGCTAGTTAGCAAAATCCCGCCGTCCATACCAGGCGTGTCCTCTCGTCCCTGCCCTATCCTCACTCACGAGGCGTCCTCAGCTGCAGCTGCGCTCCCTGAGGGCTCGCGCCCTGATCGAGGTCTTCCACAGCGTCGGTGACGAGTTCCGCATCGTCGACGGAGAGTTGGTCCAGCTTGGTGCTCGGCAAGATCAAGTCGCTGTGGTTCTCGAGCTCTGGCAGCGGCGCGGGCCTCAACCAACTGGCCGAAGGCACGCAATCGGCACGCACTTGGCACGCAACGGCACGCTCGTCTTGTTGCACGTGTGCGCGCGAGTGGGCCCAGCTGCGGAGGGGTGGGAGGGAGCACGCCGCCCTGTGGTTCTCTCATTCGACAGCCCTCTTGCAGGGCTGCCCTTTCTAACAAGAAAGGTCTAGATGTGGGACCCGGGAATTTCAAGGGACATAGACGCTTTGGGAATTAAGTTTTATTTTTCGAAATTTAATTTTTTGGGAAACAATTTTGATAATGAAAACGTAGTTGGTGGAAATTTTATTTGTATGATCCTAAATATGAGTTGGAGTGGTTTAATTGCAGTGATAAAATTTTTATTCCATAACCACTACTCATGATTTGTTAGTTCATAAAGAATTCCTAATCATGGAATGCAATACTGATTAAGTTTGAGAAATTCTTAACATTATGATTTAAATAGACTTGAAAAGGGTAAAAAGTGATGTTTCATTAGTGTAATAAAAATTGAGAAAAGATATTAATACAGAATTGAGTGAATCAGAGATGAGGCAGAGATAAATTAGAAGTGTCACAACGGTAGTGTCCCATTCTGAAATAATTACATTTCAGATTGCAAATGTATACAACAGGAATATTTTAGAGTTGACAAACACTTCTATATCTAATTTTTTATTACTACCATATTAAAAAAAATATTCATAACGTAAGCTTCATTGTATATTAGCTATTTTACATAAAAGTGAAAATCAATAAAAAGAGAACCACACGGGCTGTAGTTGCTCCTACCATTATTTTCAGCAAATGCCCTTGGTTGTTAGCTTTGAAACAGTGTTTGCAGTGCAGAGTGTGAAGAATTATTTGCATGGTAGTGAATGAATTTGCTTTCATGTATGCTCCAGAGAATAATTTTATCTTGCAATTCTCTTGCTCATTCAATCATTTTGCTTGCTTATTTGCAACATTCCACATTTGCAAATTTGTCGAATGCTTGTGCTCATTTTTTACTCAGCAAAAATCTTCTCTTTTACATACAAAAATTGTTGTTTAATGTTTTCAAACATTTGAACAGTCAAACCATGAGTAATTTTGAAGTGAAAAAATTGTAAACAATTTAACTAATAATATGAATAATAGGTTGATGCTTGTCCTGTGTCTACCCTCTTCTCTTCATCTTGTTATATTCACTCACTCCAGATTTTTCACATTTACAGGAAATTCCAGAGTTCTTGCTTAATAAATTTGATATTTTTCTATTAATCAAGTTCTTTGCAGCACTCAACTGACTAGAAGTATTTTTGTATTTGTAGTGCATGAATGAAGTGTTGTAGTTACATATTAATGTGTGTGATTGACATATTACACTGACTTGCATTTGATGTCGTACATTTGTCATTCATTTCTTCTCTTAATTGGTTGCTCTGGTTGTGTGCCTGTAACTTATTTTCATTGTTGGATTGGTTTGCAAATTGACAAAAAACTTCCAGAAAAATGATGTGTAAACTGGATATTTTTTCATTGTTTGGATGAATAAGCAATAATATTGAAAACAAAAAAATATCAAAATCTGAGATAAATCAGATAAATTGTTCATTTTCTCAGATTTATACAAAGAACATGTGCTTTACATATACAGCTGACATGGACCATTGCTTATGTGCATGTGCATGTGCCTGCAGATGACGAGGGAGGCTCCATCCGGCCTGTGCCTCACCTCACAAAGAAGGCATCGCAGAATGACTTGTACATGCGATTGGGGCTGCTCCTTGGTGATAGTGCGCGAAGAGCTGGCCGTGCAGCTCCCTCCCCGCCTCGCCGCACAGGAGTCCATCGCAACCCTTGTGCCTCCTACTCATCCCTTGCCAGTCTTGACATGAACACTCTGGGCTCTACCAACACCAGCCCTGTATCCACACTAACAGGTGAGTCTCCATGTAGATGTTAGGATGCAAGAGATTTCAAGAGAACAATACAAGGAAATATACAAGCTTGCTTACATGCTCCCTGCATTATTAGCTTCCTGCTGTAGACTATCATGCTTTGTATTGGAATATTCTGTTATGAGGCAAGAACCAACAAAACAGAATGCAAGTACACTAAATAAATTCCACTGCTCAGTTTAAACAATCCCCCCCCCCCCTCTCATAATTTTATATTGCTAAATCATCAATTTTTCATGCTCAAGTTCTTACCAAAAGGTTGTCTACATTTTATAATATAATTTTCATTTAAGAAATGCTAAAGTTAACTACTTCCGTATCAATATTGGTATTGAGATATTTGTGACAGGAAATGTGAGTCCATCCTCTTGCAATGGCAATGTTATTGGTCAGCAGGTTCCTCCGAGGCTGATATGCACAGCCACTCTCGCACTCTGAAGGACCCTTCTTCAGAAAGCATCACATCCCTAATGTCTGTTTCTGGACAGAGCAACTGCTCATCAAGTCCAGTGAGCCGTCGCCATTCCGTCACCAGTAAGTTATTTGGACAAATTTCTCATACTACTTCAAAATATTCGTAAACCATTATTTATGAAATATAATGAATTTAGAGAATGACAAATTATCATTTGAAATTAAATTTCTGATGACTAACATATTTTTTCTATCATAATTTTTAGCCTCCCAACCAGGTCAAGTGGAAGAACTAAATGTGTTTCGAAATCGAAGGGCATCAATTCGTCGATCTGCTCGTACAGGATCTGTGAAGGGACCTATTGATCCAAAAGGTGAGAAATTAATGAAATTAGTTCAATGTTTTAATTATAACAATTTTGATATAAAAACTAAATTAACATCAAATATTATTCAGAAGTCTCTGTGTCTCTCTGTGTTAACATTCTTTGTGCACAATATTAATTTTTCTATTTTAATTAATTGCTCATTTAATGTACAGAAATAAAAATATACATGAATATAAAAGTTTCAATTTTTGAGGATTTTCATATCAATGTATCTACCTCTTCTTATAAAGAAGATAGTTTGTAGGTGAAATATTGATTTGGAATTCTTGACCATATTTCTAATTTCTTTTTACCATGAATCTTGCTCAATATGAATCATGAGAACTATGGAGATTTGTTCATCATGAATGTTATGGCAGGTCCTGGCCTCTAAACATATACAGTACTACATTATATAATGCAGAAAAAAATGTTGTTGCCTTGAGCAAGTTTAACTGAATCTATGTTTCAAGATTTTTGTGAATATGGGTATTCTTGAATATGGATGGTTCTCCAGAATACCTCATTCTAAATTGTAGGCATCTCTGGCACAAAAATGTTTGGGAGGATGTGAGGAGAGGTAGTATGAATTTTTTATTTTAAGTCATTGCATTTTTTAACCTGATTAATTGGAGTCACATACAAATACTTAAAGAAGGTAAAGTTATTTTGCAGCTTTACATGAATTCAATAATATACTTTGTCAATAGACTTGGAAAATAATAGCTGACCTGGAGATAATGGTGGCAATTAGAGAAGCAATGTTAGGAAGCAATGTACATGTTGATCCTCTCATTTAGATATCAAAATGCAGGCTCTCCAGGGTGAACTTACATCCAGGAGCACCTAGAAAGGGTGTGTGTGTGGGAGGGGGCAACTTGCAGGGGAGGCCTCGACTTAATTGGGGTCATGAATTTTTTCTGTTAAAAACAATTAAACCTTTTTCTATTTATAATTCAGATTAACTGCTAAAATTATTTCTGGAGAAATTAATTCTGTTTACTGTTATTTGAAATGAGGAGCCCCTGTGAATCTTCTGCCCCAAGCTCTTGTTTTCTCTGTGTGCGCCTTCCTGCATCTACCTGTCATTTCAGGATCATCTTTGAAATATTAGTTTTCAAAGCTTTTTTACCTTTTTGCCTAACGAAGTAAATCATTTTTGGGCACATCATGCAATTGTTTTATAGTCTAAATGATCTAGCTTTTGTTTCAAGATGTATCTAATTTGTAACAATTTACTTTAACAGTGAGATTTGCCCAGTATCGAGCACAACAGTTGACCTTGAAGCCCTTGTTCTTTGAAGTACCTCTCCAAGAACCTGATCCTCTTTTTGTGGGCCGACACTGGCTTCTCCAAGATTTGGAAGAAGTGTTGGCACCTGATACTGGTATGTCTGGTGCCCTTCTTGTTGGCAACCCTGGCACTGGTAAGACTGCCTTCGTCCTACAGTTGGTAGAATATAGCTGCTTTGGACGTCGAAGGGACCCCTCATATCAACAAGGTATTCTAAATTGTTTTGATTTTTTTCCTATTTGTATACTTAAAATATTCTTGTTGAATGAAAGTAATAATCATACACATTTTCTCTCCTTTGCAGATTCCTTATTATGTAATGGGAAAGACAGACCATCAGGATCACAAAGCTTCTATTGTAATATAAATCTAGTCTCCGAAAGAATTCGACACTTGGCATCTCATGTTGTTGCATACCACTTTTGCCAGGTATGTTGTTGAATTATGGATACAGATGATATAAACAATTCAGTGATCAAAATGCAAATTAATTAGCTACATTTTTGGATGCAAATTGGAATCATTTTCAAACTATATTATAGAACTGTTTGTGTCGATGTCAGTTTCAGATAGGAACATAGTTTTATTATTTGATGTCTTTGGTGATCAATTACAAAATCATGAAAGTTTATATTACTCTGTTATCTTTCTTTCAGGCTGACAACAATAGTACATGCCTGGTTCCAGAATTTGTGCATTCAGTAGCTGCCCAGCTATGTCAAGCTCCACAATTACATGCCTATCGTGATCTACTTCTCAGTGAGCCCCATCTACAGGTTTGTTTCACTCCCTGAAACCTTAACACTCTGAACCTTTTATTCAGTTATTTAACTTAAACTTTCTCATTTTTTCTTGTGCACAGACAAAATTATGTACTGCATTCACGGGAATAAATATTTTATTTGCTCATGAATGCAATATTATTTTAGTCTTGTGGGTCACACGTGTATTAATTATATATTCTGGAATATTTTCTAGGGTGCTGTATCTCTGAAAGAGTGTGCAGCAGATCCTGACCTAGCTCTGGCTCGGGGTATTTTGGAACCTTTGTCGTCATTACATCGGCTTGGAAAGGTTCCAGGTGATGGTTGTATTGTGTTAGTAGATGCATTGTGTGAAGCAGAATTCCATCGTCCTGATCATGGAGACACACTTTCATCATTTTTGGCTCGACATGTGCCTGACTTCCCTCCCTGGCTCAAAATTATTGCTACAGTTCGCACTCAGTTACTACAAGTTGCTTCTCCACTTGCCTTCTATGAAATAAGGTAAAAAATGTCACTACTGATTAACTACTTACTAAACATCTTGTATTCTTACATGTATTGACATTTAATAATTACAAGAAACAATTTTTTTCTAATTGAGTAATTTCTTACAGCCTTGATAAAACCAGCAGCAATGAAAGCCTTCAAAAGGATCTTCTGGATTATATCAACTTTAGGCTAATTAACAGTCCCTGCATTCAGAGTAATGTTGCATCCACCTCTGGCAAATTAGATGGTAGCATGACCAGTTCAGGCTCTCAGTCTCGTTTCTCTCAGCATCTTCTTTCTCTTTGCCGAGGATCTTTCCTCTTTGCAAAGCTGACTCTTGACCTGCTGGAGAGAGGACACCTTGTAGTCAAATCATCTGGCTACAAAGTTCTACCTGTTTCACTAGCCCAGATTTTCCTGCTGCATTTCAACTTGCGCTTTCCAACAGTGCGATCATTTGAGAAGGTTGCTCCCATTCTCAGTGTATGCCTTGCTGCATTATACCCACTGACACTACTGGAAATTTACTACTCAGTCAATGCTATTTATGTGGACAAATTCATGTCATGGGATGATTTTCTTGCAAGATTCAAGGTAAATACCAATATTTCACTTTCGTAGTTAAAATATTTTAGTATTTTCATTCTTCAAACTACATTTTTGAAATCTGCTCATATTATGTACTTTTTTACAGACTTTATTGGGCTTCCTGGTAAAGCGTTTAGACAACACTTACATGTTTTTCCACCCATCTTTTCGGGAATGGCTTATTCGACGAGATGAAGGTGAAAGCAACAAGTTTCTGTGTGATCTGAGAACTGGCCATGCAGGTATTGCCCTTCGTTTATCACGAGTGCAAGCACCTCTTGATGCAGAGAAGACTCTGGAGTTGGGTCATCATGTGCTTAAAGCTCATCTCTATAAGAATATGACCTTGCACAAATATTCCTCCCGAGACTTACAAGCCCACTGGGTATCCATGAGCTCTGAAAATATTTCTGCTGCTCTTTGCTCATTGCGAAACGTATATAGCCCAAATGTCAAGGTAATTTCACTTTTTTGAAAATAAAATAAATGTTTATATTGCTTATCAGCATTTATCTTGGTCTACAAGATACTTGAATTAAAAAAAAAGAGAGGAAAAGTTGTATGCTTTTATGTCTTTTTGGCTGTTTAGTATATTTTTAGTAATGTTGACTATGCTTTTGTTTGAAGGGAAAAAAGTCATTATGAAACTGAACTCTCTTTTTGGATTCTATCATTCAATGGATCATGTGGCCATAGCTTCCTCAGAAGCTGATAACATATTCACAAATATAGTTTGTTCATATTTTCTATAGAAATAAAAGTCATTCAATTCTTCAGTTGATTTTAATAACAATAACAAATAAAAATTAATTTTATATGTAGCATAGACTACTTTTTTATAAGAAAACTTCAAATTGACTGAACAATACACCTACAGCCAAGAATGTAACTAAGTTTGCTTTCATCTGGGACAAGAGCTTCAGAGAAGGGTTTATATGTATTATTTCAAAAATAACGAAATTAAATTTAACCCCCCTTGCAATTTAGCACCAGGGGCACATGCTCTGCCCCATCTTTCCCCCTAGATCACTCCCTACCTATAGATCCTAGCATAGAAAAAAACAAGTTGCCCCGCTGCTCTCATTGCAAATCGTTCTGGAACTCAAATGCATATTTCATTTATGTAGAGATGTTTTGTTAAAAAAAATCTGAAGCTACTTCAAATAACTTTACATAATGGCATTTTCAAATAACTGTTTATTCAATAATTATCAGTTATTTATAATTTCAATATAAAATACTTGTGTTATTCTTTTAGGTGTCACGACTCCTACTTTTGGCTGGTGCATCTGCCAACTATGAAACAGAGTTTCTAGGGAGTGCTCCTGCACTATGCATATATGCTAATGAGGGCATCTCTAGTATGGTGTCTTTACTCTTAGAGTTTGGGGCTGATGCAGAACGCACCAATAGCCAAGGTATGTGACTGATAATTACTCAGAAAAATTGTGTGAATTCATCAAATGATAATGTTTTCTTAAGACATCCTTCTTTTTGAATTCTTAACTTTCCGTCAGTACCCCTTTATTTTTGTTATAAGTCTGTTCATCAGAGTTAGACAGACCCTGTCGTTCTTTTGTATTATTTTTTTCCATTATGATTGGATATTAATTTTCCACAATCATGTGAATATGTAATTGTAGAAAGGTTTATTTTCATTAAATGTATACTAATATAAAAAACATTTGAATACGGAGGACTTATCTAAAACATTGACATTGAAGAAATACATTCTCCAACTCTATGAAATGAAGTAGAATGCTCAATGAATCGTGGTGGATTTGTTTCAAGCTAGATAGTGGAACTTTAGTCAGTTAAAATATCTGATTCCAAACTGATTTTGAACATACATCACTGTGAACTGCAATACCAATTGTGTATGCAGTGTTCATAGTGTAGTGTTGGAAGGTTAATGCCAGTCAATAATTGTTAGGAGATTGTTTGGAAAAAGAATCAAAGCTAAGTATTATCAGCTTATCAACAATTTCCCAATAAATAATTTGGGATGATGAAATTAAAAATTAGTTTAACTTATTTTCTATGAACTCTAAATTTAAGTGTATTGTGAACTTGTTTTGTACATGAACGTATCATTAGTGTATTTGATAAAAATCTATGTGCAGGTTGTACTGCATTAGCACTGGCATCAACGCGAGGACATTGTGAAGTGGTGCGGCTTCTAGTAAGTGCAGGTGCAAGTTTAGGCCATGCAGACACTGCTGGCCAATGCCCATTGGTGCATGCAGCCAGAGGAGGATGGCTGAATGTTGTGGGGTATTTACTTTCCTGTGATTGGGTGCTGACCCAGCCTAATGATGTAATGCTGCAGGAAGCCACACAACAAGCTCTTGTAGCAGCTGCAGGCCAAGATCATGTAGAAGTGAGCATTATTATTTTTCAGCCATTTCTTTCCTTTTGATTTCATTATTTGTAGGATTGGTTGCATATGCATATACCAATGCATTATTAAGTTATCTACAATTAAAAGAATTTCAAGTAATCATAAAAATCAGAACACTCATCATTTGGGAATTAGTTGGGATCATTCATTTCTTATTAAATTTGTAATGGCCAAAATTAAACAATATGATTAAATAAATAAACACGAAATTATGGTCAATGATTTCTAGGTGGTGGAATATTTGTTGGACATGGCAGAAGTAACTATTGATGCTGTGGATACTTTGACGGGTGAAACTGCTTTGACAATAGCTGCCACTAACGGCTGCCCAGCTGTGTGCACCAGTCTTCTGGTGCGTGGAGCCAGTGTTTCAGCCTCCAATAGGAAGGTATGTTTACTTATAGACTTAACAAATACTCAAAACATTCATTCAAAGAATACCCTCCCCAACATACACACAACACACATACACACACACATATATATCATTAGCTCCCTTACAAAAAAAATACTTTCATAAATATGTGAAATCCCAAACAAAAAAATAAAATATAAGTATTAAGATGTCATTTTGTTTAGAAATATTTAATTTAAATAATGATAACTTTTCATTGACAAGAAGTAGTTGGGCTGTAGTCATTAAGCCATTGACTCATAATTTTCCATTAATTATTAAAATTAATGTCATGTTTATTTGCAATTAAAGTAAGATCATATAAAAGCATGAAACATGTTCTTTTCATGTGCTTTGCATTTGTGATTATTTAAAATTTACTTTGGAAATGATATTTCTGGAAATTTTATCTGGATATTTATAATTTTCTAAGTATAAAAACTGTATTAAATTCAAAAGTTGATGAGGCAGTTTCGGTCCTAATACATAGCAAACAACTGGTTTCATTAGGTGCATTTTAGAAACAAATTGTTATAAGTTTACAAACTGTTCAAAAATGAGGCATTAAAAGTAAGTTGAGAAGTCACACAAAACCGACAATAAAAAATAATTTTTTGCTTTATTAAAATGAGACTGTGTGTGGAACAAGGCTGAACTGTTACAGTATCTAAAGATGAAATTAAGAATGAATGTGCAGCCCTCATTCCCCTTCAAACTTAAAAAATGAGTATCAAGTTATGGTTCTAAAATAATAACAACTAAAAATAACTAAAATATACTGTATTCATTATTTGTATTATTTAAAATTTCATTCTACTTGTGTATTTTGTTAATTTGCAAGTGAAATATTACATATGTAAATAAAATATTTAAATAGAAAAGGCACTCAGAAATTAGTATTGGCCCTCTTGTTTCAATATGTGCATGCTTATTTTGATGTGTTGTATATCTTTTATTTACAAATGCATCTTACAGGACATGTGCCCACTATTATTGGCTGTAAAAGGTGGCCGCTGGCCTATTGTGGACAGTTTACTGCAGAATCATGCACCACTAGAACAGTGTGATCCATCCGGTCGCACTCCTTTGATGCTTGCTGCAGCTGAAGGCCATTTGTCTCTGATGGAGCAGCTCTTGGACAGAGGTACATTTTTTTTACAAAGAGGAAAATGTATGTCAGGGTACTGTACAAGACTTCTGAAAATAAGAGTTTGTATATCATTGGTTTCAATGTGATGTAATGAAATTGAATAGAAAATCATGTCCTTCTGTTTCTAGAATTATGTTTGTTCTCTTTCAATACAGGTTTATATCATCACAAATAAACATTGAGAGATATTTTACAGCTTCTCATTGTTGTATTATCATTAAACAGTTGTATTTTTAAAACTGATAAGATAAATTTGGAATTTGTATAACACTGCATATACAACTCTTTGGATAATCATTCATTTTTCTCTTTTTCCTCTCCATACTACTTTTAGTATTAAATATATTAAACTTGTAAAATATTTTGGGCCTGTTTTTGAACGTCTTTTATGAACAAGAGAGTATATTTTATGTCAGTATATAAATTAAAAGTTTTGAGTATTTTTGGGCCACAATTAATTTATTTATTTGGACATCTCGATGACCTAATAATGTCATTAATTTATTTAACTTTCTAGGAGCCTCACTTCAGAGACAGGATAAAGAGGGTTTAACAGCTCTTGGATGGGCATGTTTACGTGGGCGTGTGCAAGCAGCGCAATGCCTTCTTGATAGAGGTGCGGATATAAACTATGCTGACAAGACTGGGCGCACACCATTGGATCTTGCATCATTTCAAGGAAATCCCAATCTAGTCCAGGTATAATAATTTATTTACTTTTATACTGTCATGTTTATGTAAAATTAAAAGAAATATTTTTGAAATATTAAATAAGAGTGAAATAAAAGTTTCTTTTAAATTTTTGATTGGCCTATTTGTTTGATTTCTGACTTTCTCAATTAATTATCTATTGTTTATTTTATTTGCACGCATTTACATATTAATAAATCAATTATCAATATTCCAATAAAAATATTTGTACACCACAAAAAGTTTGAATTATCATAAATATAAATTATTTAATACTTTATTACTTTAACAGCAATATTGTATTTGCTTGTAGCTTCTTATGGAGAGGGGAGCTCTAATTGAGCATGTGGATATCAATGGAATGCGTCCACTTGATCGTGCTATTGGTTGTCGCAACACGCAAGTTGTGCATTGTTTCTTGCGTAAGGGAGCCAAACTTGGTCCTGCTACTTGGGCTATGGCATCAGGCAAACCAGAGATTATGTGAGTAATTGAGAGAAAATGATAATGATATATCTTTAAAAGTAATATTTCACAAAAAATATGTTTAGTTGTCATGTTCAGTCAAAAGTCTTTGGGATAATTGGGATTGGTGAATATACTTGCTCTTTAAAAAAATGAAAATGCATCTCTTTGCTGTGAGGAGTCTATAAATGGATTTTTGCCAAAAATGCTTAATTTGATGTTAGCTATTCTTTAATCAATTTTGTCTAAAGAGATATTGCTTCACTTTTATTGTAAATTCTTCAAAAACTTGTATGTGCTTGACAATTAATTATACATTTTTTTCTAGGCTGATTCTCCTAAACAAATTATTGGAAGATGGCAATGTTCTTTATCGGAAGAGTCGGCTCAAAGAAGCTGCTCATAGGTACCAATATGCACTGAAGAAATATCCAACAGAAGAATTGGGAGAACATGTTAACACCTTTGAGCAACTACGCATTAATTTGATACTGAATTTGGCTCGCTGCAAACGAAAGATGCGAGTAAGTTGAACATCATTTTTCATCTCATTACTTTAATAAGAAAAAGAACCCAAAACTTATATTTTTCTTTCCATAGGAACTAAATGAAGCTGTTGATTTAGCTAACCAAGTTTTAAAGCTTAAAAAGGATTCCTTTGAAGCCTATTATGCACGAGCCAAAGCTCGAGTAGATCAGAGGTATGTAATGCATTTAATAATACACAAATGGAACCTTTAATTGATTTTATTAAGTATTTATTATTGAAGTTTTCTGTAATTCTACAATTCCTTATACTCTTTCATTACATTTTAATGTTTTGACATTATTCAATTAGGAAATGTTGATAAGTATAAGATTGCAAATACTACTCTCAGTAGATGTCTTGAAAGTAAGAGTCATTTGGTTAACAAAATTAATGATTCAATCCGAAGAAATTAGCTTCTCTGGTTTTGGTTTTGTTAGAAATTTCACAATATTAAGAAACAGAAGCAATTCATTACTTCCAATTGTTGTTTAGTTTAGATACTCTTGTAGTCTTGAATATATGATCAGAAATTATGATAGCAATACACACTACATTTATATTTTCAAAAGAATCTGAAATAACTGATGCTTTTTGAAAACAATTCCTTATTACTCAAAAATTGCTCCTTTTCCAATGTAGGCTTTTTGAGGATGCTCTTGAGGATATCCAAGAAGCACTGCGAGTTGCCCCACCAACAAGTCGAGAAGTGCATCGTGTCCTCTGCAAATTACGGGAGGAAATTAAAGCTGAGATGACTACACCTCAATTATCCGGACATCGGGGTTTGGCAACATCTGTTGACATGCTGAATGAGCCTGAGACGCACGCATAAATTCATTACATTCTGGTGCTCAAAGCACTTCATAATGCTGGGCAAAGTGCAGTACCTTTCATGTTCCTTATTTTCTAAACTTTTTATTTTGCAATGCATATATGATATTCATGATGAATTTCAAGAAAGCTTGTGTTCTGATAAGTGATTGTTATTTTTTATTTCCTAATTCATAAATAAGAGGAGCTTGTGGTTGTAAGGTGCATTTCCTTAGATTCTGACAAATTAGAATCAGCTAGGAAATTACCTGTTTTGTGACTGAATGATTATTGATTCCTTGAGGGACAGTACACTATTTGTGACAGTTTTAATTCAACAAGCATCTCAAGAAGAGATGTATACTGTAAGATATCTTCATAAATGTGTATATTAATTAAATATTAACAACAATGTGAAAAGTATTTGTATAGATGTTATAAAATTGTATAGTTGTCAAGAATTGGTATTATTCAAATCTACTAATTACCTAGCTTAAAGCTAGAAAGAAGTTTTAATTATTTTCATGAATATGCATAACAAATCTGTCAATATGTGGATTATTTGTAAATGACATTGTGAGAAAAATATTAATGTCAGTCTGAATCCGATTATTACTTGCATGAAATAATAACTGAATAGCGTTTGTAAATATTTTGGAAGTTCTCAGCTATAGTGATTATTTCTCAAAAAATTATAAAATTGTAATTTGTGTGGCAAATTTTTAATTATTAAATCAATATATTTACATAGTTTTCTTTGTATGTATTTTTTCAAAGCATGAAAGTATTCCTCTTCAGTAAATATAGAGGAATGGTTCAGAATAGTTTGGATTTTTAATTCAAATAAAACATTTTATTCAAAAGTGATTACTCCGATTGACATTGGAGATACTGATACACTGTAGAAGTGTATACTAACGTATGTTTAATTGTATTTATAATCAATCCCTGCTTCATATAGTTTTTGTTATTGAACATTCCCATCTCTTATGACAGGATACTGTAGTATGAAATGTTTTGTTCCTCTTTCGTTATAATGCTGAACAATCAATATGATCTATGTATCAGGTTATGGGTAACTCTTTCACTAGTTACATTATACATTCACAATGTGCAAATGAAAATTTCTCTACATTTTTCTTTTGCAAGATGTTTAATAAGTAGCACAATTCATCACAAAGTTTGTGCATAAATGAAAATCAAAAGTTTTGAAGTATTTTTGTCCTTTAAATCATGAGTGCATGACTGTTTTTTGATGTTTGGCATACTCCCTTGTTTTAAAGGGTAAAGAATTATTATTTGAAGAAAATAATGGGTGAAAAAATATAAAAAGGAAAATAATTTAAGTTGTAGTACATGATTGAATACTTTTATTTTTGTCTAATTGTCCAGGTCATTAACAGTGCTAAGCAGGCATACATCTCAAATTATATAATGTGCATCTACTTAAAGCACAAACGTCTTCATTCAGGGATGAACATAATAAAGAAACAAATTAAAACTTGTTTTCAAGAGTAATGAAATGAAAGTATTCTATAAATACAAAGAAAGGTCATCCATATTATATTACAACAGAATTTAACTTTCAAAATATCCAATGAAGTGAATGTGCCAAATGTTCAAAATACTGTATAGCCCTTAAAATTCCTCGTTATGTCTATACTTTGGACATTAATGAAGTTAATGAGAGACTCTACTCAACATATTTGTAAGTGAATTTGATGTTTTATGCTCCAAATACTTCTGACCTCGAAAATACACTGCCATTAACTGTGTTTATTTGTTAATTTTCATACACCTCCTCTTGACTTTCGTTAGAAACGAGAGACACAAGACTGAAGTTCTTACATTGTATTTCTAGACACTATGCACACATCTTGCTGTAAGTTTTTTCTCTACAAATATTCTGACTTCATTCTCATTTTTTCTGTACAACTTGTCATTATGCAAGTTAACATTTTATATTTCTTTAGAGGTCAGTTTTAGAGGTGATTTGTAATATTTTTGCATATCATGAAATAACAGTAACAATAAGATCCTATTAAATGATTGTTGTAGATAGTTAATATATATATTTATATAATTTTATAGAGGTAAAATTCATTTACTGTCATTGATGTTTCGATAAGTTAATAAATTTATGTAAAATTTCCATGGTCATTTGTTTATGAAATTCTTAGATATACCACCACCAGTGTTACTCTATTTTGAATTGATTTCTGAGTGAAGTGCAAAGGCTATGCATGTTGAGATATATCTGTGACTGAAACTGAAAAGAGAGTGTGAGAAAGCAAAGATGTGGATGGATGATGGCAAGATTTTAGTCTGTATTTGAAAAAGAGGTAAGTGATTCATCAAGAAATGGAACCACCAGTGTTACTCTATTTTGAAATGATTTCTGAGTGAAGTGCAAAGGCTATGCATGTTGAGATATATCTGTGACTGAAGCTGAAAAGAGAGTGTGAGAAAGCAAAGATGTGGATGGATGATTGCAAGATTTTAGTCTGTATTTGAAAAAGAGGTAAGTGATTCATCAAGAAATGGAACGTTCTTACATTTTAAAATTTAAAGATTTTAACATTACATTCTTAAAATAAAAAGATTTCATGGGCAAGATTACCAACTAAGAGTGGGGAGGAGGAGGAGGAGGTTAAAGGCAGAGGGGTATAGGGTATTGGTTTGTGTTATGTGATGCTGATATTTTTTTTTTTAATTAAAGATTTACTGAAATTTTTTTTCTTTCAGTTTTATACTAAAACATAAAAAAAGAAAATAAAAATGCAAAGTTATAAGTTATCACAATGCAGTAAAACTTTCTCAATGCAAAACCAGAATTTGTGCCGCATTATACATGTAATACAGTAGACCTTATGTTTAGCAGGACCACGATTCATGTTCATATTAGATAGATTTCTGCATTGAGCAAGTTTTACTGTAAATGGAATCTTTTTTCTTCAAATATTCATTACTCGTCAATAGTACCTATGTTCCAGATTCCAATTAAATTGGTGAAGATGATACTCATGCATGACGGCTTGTTGGAAGAAATTTTCTCACCTATGGACCCTTCCTTCATTTAAAAATTATCCCAATTTTATTGCTAGATGCAAGGAGTACCACGAACTTATTCTGACTTAAATGTTAAAATTTATGATAAACACAAATAGAAATTATATAACTGCTTTTACTGTTTTATATAATTTATTTTCACTTATTGTAAATCAGAGTGGAGGTGTTGTCGTATTAGAGAATCATTTAGGCGAGTTCAAGCATGCATTATAGGTGGGGAGGCAGTATTCAAAATACTACAAATTTGTGTTACAGGATTTACAGACAACCCATATTGGATCCAGGGACAGTCATTGGGCCTTATTCACTTATCTACTGATGATTACATATGGTTTTCCTAATTTTCAATTGAATCATATTTTTCAATTTGTCAAAGTGAAATGAAAGCAAGAGATATGAGGCAAGTTACTTTAATAAGCATCACGGAAAAAAAAAGGCGACAAAGGTAAACTATTCTTTCAGTGTAGATATGAAAACCAGATATTTCATTCTTCTAAAAATCTTAAAATCATAAGCTCATGAAGGAACCCTCTGTCCACTACAAAGAAATTCAAAAATTTGTTTGAAAACTATTATGACAGCTAGGCACTCGCAATAAAATGAACAAGTTTTATCACAGTGCTGAGAAAAAAGGATTATTCAATGTTTTCTTTGCATGGGAAATGTTGAACGATAAAGGGGATCTTACAGAAGAAGAAATTTTCTTATGATATGTCTGAACCAATTTACTGTGATAATAATAAATAACAAAAATTACTCACTGTTACCAGTGTAGTTGCTTAAAAAATTAAATCTGAAATAGGTAGGGAAAGGGAACATAAAAATATACACATTTTCATAAATAACATTCTATTTGCAAAAATAACAATGATCTAGTTGTTTTTTGACACATGTGCTACTAATGAAGCCATACATATTGTTCACTTAATTTTTTCAGCTGCTCTCAATTTTGCAGACCGACTTCTAGGGTTGTCTGTCATTTCATCAGAAGAAGGAATTAAAACATGTTTCAACAGCGGTTTCCAAATGTCAGATTTGAGACTTGCCAATTCTTTTTCATCACAGTAAAATGTGGGATCAAATCCTTTTAGACCCATTAGTTTCCCAGAATTATAAGCCATATTCTCATTCAAATGACATTTGACAATTCTATCTTCTAAGGAATGGAAAGACAATATAACAATTTTTCCTCCAACTTTCATGTACCTATGAGCAATTGTCATTCCATAATTGAGTTCATTTAATTCATTATTAACAAATATTCTAAGGGCTTGAAATGTCTTTGTAGCTACATGGGCAGGTCGTTTCAATTTATCTTTTCTTTTATCAGAATCAAAAATCCCAGCAACCAGCTCTGCTAACTGATGAGTTGTTTGCAATTTAAGAAGCATGTAACGTGATTCTATAACTGACCGAGCTATTTTTTTGGCCATCTTCTCTTCACCATACACTGATAAAATTCTTGCTAAATCATGTTCTTCTATCTTTGCCAAAACATCTGCTGCAGTTATGGAGTTTGGCAATCGATTTCCATCCATCCGCATATCAAGAGGACCATCTTTGCTAACAGAAAATCCTCTGTACGCTTTGTCAAACTGCATAGAGGAGCACCCTAAATCAAAGAGGATTCCGTCTATTGAACTTGGTTTTACTTTTTCTTCATGAAGCAATGAAGGCAAATCACTGAATTTTCCAAGTAAAGGAACAACTCTGTGTGGATAACGTTGTGATAAATCATTAGCTATTTTGAAGGCAGTAGGATCTCTATCAAGAGCAAACACTTTAGTGTTGGGTGCGGCATTCAGAATATACTCTGTGTGTCCTCCAGCTCCAAATGTCATATCAATGAAAATCTGCTCCTTTTTTGGTTGAAGAAAATCAATTACAGACTGGGCTAAAACTGGAGTATGCAATTTCTTGATTTTTACAAGCAGGATTCTTCTAGAAGAGTGCAAACATATAGGTGAGAAGAAAAACATTGTGGTATTTCACTTCCACTTAAATATAAAATATCTGCTAGACTCTTTAAAAAGCTCTAAAGACTCTGTTGATAATACTTGGTGACACTCTTCACGGGTTAGTCCAGTGGAAGATGATACACGTGTTCTCTTGTATTTCTGTCCATACACATTATCATTCAATCTTGTTAAACTCGCAAGATTTCGAGAACATTTCTCTTCATCTGCTACTGATAGAATTCCACGACTGAATGCTTTTTTCACTTCTTCTTGTATATATTCTGCAATATCTCTGTAAACAAAAGAACATATCGCTACATATAAATCATTAAAAGTACTTAACTGTGCAACATCTCAGTATCGTACTACAATTAGAAATTACAGATCTAATTTTATAACTTATTTTCATACATATATTTCTGTATACCTGCCACGCTTGGTCGGATCCACAGGCCACTTCTTCAATAGATTCAAAAACTGTTTGTATTGAGTGGCCATCAAACTTACAAATGACTTACATTCGCGTTAGTTTATTACATGCCATGTGGATCTGCTTCCATCAAATAATTAACTCCAGGACGTTCAGAACTATTCATTCAATTTTCTTGTTTGTAAACATAACCTCGACTCTTCATAAACACGGACTCCCCACTCCCCGCACCACATCACGTTACTCATTCCCTCTAGTGTAGGTCCAGTGAACTATTTCACCTAACAATTGAAGCGACGAAGGCGCAAAAACATTTTGTCCTACCATACCATCATATCTACTACCAAACCATAAGCTCCATAGTTTTATCTGTATCATGAAGTCTTTTGATTTAATTCTATTTATTATTCGACAAAGAACAGTACCCAATAGAAACTCTATGCCACATATTGGGAAGAATTATAATCTATACACTTTTCTTGAGCTGCAGAATCTTTTTCCGATATTGTTAGTACAAAAATTGTTGTTTGAAAACTAAATATTTTCATTCCCGAGAAATAGAAAATTTATTTGCATCGGTTAACGAACTATTTTGATTTTTTGTATTGCTAATAAAATTGCAACCCACAACCTCAGCTCTATCCTTCCACAACTAGCCCAACAAAACGTGCGCATAATAAAGCTACATTTGTGTTCAGAAGCAAATCAAGCGGTCATCTCAGCATTTGCTCAACGTTTCAGGGAAACTGGACGAAAAACGGTGTTCTGTGTTGATAACATTGGAGTGCCTGATTAAAAAAGTAACAGACTTTTTATGATATCAAAAGATCGTGACTTAAAACACTTACCTTTTTTCCCATCTTGTTTACCCTTATCTCGGGAACGGCTGAACCAATTTCGATGGGAAATTTCACTGAAAGGTATTTTCGGGCATAACTTGGGCTACTTTTTTAAGATAATTTTTTGACCTACCATTCCTACACCCTTAAAACAACATTTAGGAGTTTCACTTTTTCGAGAATATCTCGAACACGGTGAGGAAATTCATCAAAGTGAATTGAACTTTTCTGAAAATTAATGCAGATGGATATGATTAACAAATACACCCAGACAACGCGCCGTATTCTGAAGGAAAATGTAAATTTTAGTAAATAATGTATTTGTGAATAATGCGTGTCACCGGCTTCTGGAGAGGAGAGCTAAAGCTTCTTGGTTCTTCCCTTTGGAGGCGACATTGTTAATTATCAATTGTTCATAACGCGAAGGAATATTTTATTATGTTTTCAAATCACTTCTTACTCATTTTTCTGTATAGTGGAATGCTACGATATGTGTGAGGGGAAAGAATTTGTTGAGCGTACTGTCGAATGAAGCCACCAGATTGCGTATGTGAACACGTACGAACTGTAAACACGCACTCAAGTTTAGTAGAGGGGAAACAGCGTTCGGAAATGGAGGCCGAAAAGAAATGCACGACAGGAATACCTTGTGCAGATGTAATTTCGTTACACTTCTGCGCTTATCCTCAAGTAAATTCTATTCAAACACCATCTTTGTCTTAAGTCAGAGGACTCGCGGTAGATTGTTAACTCCTAGACCCGTTTGAAAGCCGCCACATAGCGTGCCACTGTTGATGAGGCTCTCCCTATTGTTACTTTTGCGGTGTCGTAATGTTGCAACGCCACAAAATAAATACGATTTTTTGTCAAAATGTAAACATTTTGTTTAGATGTTGTCATAGTCAATTTAGAGTGATAGAACAAGTTACTATAACTCAACATACCGTTGAACGGTGTAGGGGCTAAAAGATTTACGCTGGCCTTGCCCAGCAGATTAAGTTCAGTCACAGTGCACAATATTAACAGTTTGTGCGGCGTATATACCGCAGACGTTTCAACTGGTCTTGTCCAGCCAGCGGATGTAAGTTAAGCTGTAGCACGAAAATAATATGTGGGGTTTGAAGCGTATTACTTACGCAACCTTTCTTGAACGATGGATTGAAGAAATGTAGGTAGAGTGGGGGAATTAGTTACATAATCAGCTACTAGATTTTATGAAGCAATGCCAATCTCTGGAGAATCAGTTAAGCCTTCGCAACTTTCTCAATAATTTGCGTTCTAACTGCCCCAGCAGATCGAGGTTATCTTCTGTGATGGATCTTCACCACCTTCGGACATTTCGTTAGATTTTTTGTAGAAAATAATGATAAGAAGTTCTCGTCTTTAACAGAAAATAGTTTATATATCTCACCAGTGAAAATGTGTTTGGAATGTTGTCATCAGTGCTCGCTGCCAGGTTTTGTCATTAACTGTTTATTGTGCCAGAGAGGGGGAAGCAAGGTCATCGTTTAAGAAAAGTTGCGCAAGTAATACCCTATTGCTTGCGGTCACAGAACCCTACGTTACCCTTGAAGTAGCTAAGGGCGTCTGCTAACAACCGAGGAGAGCCTTAGAAGAGCCTAGAGTTTGCACGTAAGTACAGAGATCATGTAACTACGAGAGACCACTGAGATCTTAGCCGTAGATACTCGCCATTAGCATTAGAGTGTAATATCGCTTGGCTCTGCCTACACAGACGGGCAATACTGTTCGAGACGACGCTGTTCCCCCTCGCATAGTTATGTTGTGGAGAACTGCTATTTTATCGTACAAACCTTTCTTTTGTTTCCTGACCTCCGATATTTCTGTAACTGGCATAAAAATGTTCCAAGCCTTTTTGACATTGCGTAATTCTACTTGAACTTAGTCATACGTCAAGTTAAGTCGCAAGTCATTACCTTTATCCTTATCGGTTAGGGATCAGCGGCTTTAGTATCTGAGATTCCCAGACGGTCACCCACACAGGAACCCGCGGTATCTCAAGCTGTTCAACTTCCGAGACTTCACGGAGCTTGGTTAAGTTGTTCTACTACAGGCGCCGACCTTTTCGTACGCTGTCACTCACTGTCAAAAAGCCGGGAGAGGTGGCTCAGTGCATGAACTGATGTCACTACAGTGTCTCTAACCGGGAGTGCTCAGGTTCGAGTCCCGATAGTGGCAAAATTTTCGATACTAACTTGTTCTCTAAGTCGAATTCAGTCTGGAGGAGAAGTCTAGATACCAACAGCTCTGAGCGGTAGTTTTCCGTGGTTTCTCCGATTGTAAATGCCGGGGTAGTACCTTAACAAACGGGGTACGGACCTTCCTCTTTCTTGTCATATCCTCACCTCTTACTTACACATACCTACATATACATGCATTAAACTAACACACCAATCGGGTGCTGAGTGCTTGGTCAAGCTGGGGTGGTGCGCTAGTGAGAGATACCTGGTCGGGGAAAATCTCACATGTCAACGTATCGGTCGAAGGGGAAGATAACCGCCACCTCCATTGATAAAGCATGCTCTTCAGTTAGGGATTCAGTAATAACCTTATCAGTTGGCGCGCCTGGAAACACTAAATAATCAATCAACCCAATGAGCCATGTCTCTAGCGGGGCGGGCAGAACCCTACCCACTTCTACGCCGCCCAGGTCGTCCTCACCAACATCCCTCCTCATTTCGGTCGTCCCACCCCTTCTGGCCCACCTCTCCCACCCACATCTGTCCCTTCCTGCCCACTCCACACCACAACACGCCACTGTCTCGGCTTGTCTCGCCTTCCTCTACCTTGTCCTATCCTCACACCTTACACACTCGTACACTAAGATGCTCTACACTACCACAGATGGCCGGAAGCTTAGAGCTTGTCCTGGCTGGGGCTGTGGGAGATACCTGGTTAAGGGAAATCCCGCTATTCGCCGGAAGGTCAGCGCTGAATCTCGCCATCCAGCGGTGGACGATCACCGCCTCCTTCCGAGGGAAAAACATTCACTACACTTATGGGAATAATGACCACAGTAGTTGACGAGCCCGAAATCACTAACAACTAACCAACCGTCGAAACTTCGGTGGGTATTTATGACCCTGACGTTATTTACAAGGTCAAGATACGCTTAATCACCGAATCCGGTTAATTCGTAAAGCCGAAGCGTACGACGATTTGGCTGTCTGGATGTCGCCGCGTCTCGTGGGCTAAGAGGCCGACGTTTCGCCTGTCATATGGCAGGCGTCCTGGGGTAGTGACCAATATTAGGTAGTGACCAAGCCTCTCAGCCAACGACGCGGCGTCACCCGGACAGCCAAGAAGTCATAAACTCGAGCCGCGGAAACTTACATGTACAAGTGGAAGCGTACTTCGAACTTCGCCAGGTGACGTGTGCTTTAGCCAACCCAAGGTGACGAGGGAAGCTCAAGTACGCTACGGTGACGAGAAGCATCACGTCTTGTATGATGAACAGGAATGAGACTACTGATGGGGAGTTTGTAAGGTTAGTGAAAGACAAGGTAAATAGTTTTGAGTTTATATTTCGGTTATTAAATTTTTATTTACATGGTACCATCTAACCGCACTATATCTCAGTTGACATTTCGCTTCGCTTTTCCGAGTTGTGGCGAGGCTCCAATCTCCGGCTTAGGCATTTCCGATTTACATAACACAATCTCGATTCTGTGCAATGCATAATTTACGGCGCATTTTTATGACCGTGAACACCACAAGACGCCCCGAACTCGGATACTTTAAGATTCGGATAAACAATAAGATACTCCGATAACCAGCGCCTTGTGGCGAATGCCAACATTTGTCCGACGGTATTTGAAAGAATCCGTTCATCGCCATTCACACAGCTTTATTCTATCTAAATAATGTGATTTAACTGGCTAATTAGTCGTTTTTATAACTTTAACCATAAAAGAAACAGCATCTCATAGCTTTATTTGAAAGTACATTCCTTGTACGTTCAAAGAGTAATGTAGATTTTTATGTTGTCTCCTGTTCACAGGGAAAAGTAGTTGCCATAACTTATGAATCAGCTACATATAAAAATTGGTGAATGTGTGTATATATGTTTCTGCATAACTCTGGGACATCGCCAGAAATCTCAATGAAATTGCGTGGGCGCAAGAATAATCGCAGAAAAATACTGGAGACGCGAATACGCGAAAAAATACCGTAGTGATTTCGGACCGAAGGATCGCGGGTTAGAGTCTCGCCTCGGGCAGGGTTGTATCTTGTTCGTCCTTGCACCCCCTGTCATCATCGTATCGTGTCATCCTCACAGTTACTATACATGCAATAGTGGTCGCTAATGACCTAGAAGTTGATGCGACTTTAAATAAATAAAAAAAACAACGATGGTGACGCTAGCAACGATGAATATTTCAGTTGTAGGAAGACACTAAAGAAGTTTTCAACATTTGAAATTTTCAAAAATCAGGGTTTTGGACGAACATGAGACCTGCACCATTCTCTTAATCGTCCTGCACACTATCCAACAACAAAATTTAATAAAAAACGAAGGATTATTTTTTTGAAAATGTCCCAGGTGTTTCATATAAAATACTCCCCAGAATTAAAATATCGGTTTGAAATCCAAGGGGCAAGACATCCGACAGATCGATTGCCGAATATCAATTTTGGAGAAAATAAGCTGAACGGTTTAACCGCTAACATTGTAACACAGGACTGAGAGACGTTTTGCCGTCTTTCGATTTTTCGGTGCCAAGGACCCACAAAACATGAATTCTGGCTGCACGACGTGATAGAGGTTTCCCCTCATAAATTTCGAAACTGGATTTATCCAATTTTTCGTTACCAAGACTTTATAATAAGAGTATTGCTGCTGAAAATTCGTCGTTTTTTCGCGCAGCATTACATAACTTTCTCTCTACTCCGTAGGGAGAAAGTAAAAGTAAAGAAAAAATATTTTCTGATTCAATTACGACAGTAAAATAAGGATATAAATATGGAGTGGTTTTTGATCGAACTATTGAAGAAAGTGTTAAACAAGAAAGAACACGTTTTCAAAATGAAAAACTACTTTTGAAATAAACAAAATTATTTTTTTTTGTAAATTTATCTTTTTGTAAAACATTTTTGTTCTTCAATGTCTTGAAAGCCATATTTTGATTAAAATTTTGGACTTTCGTAAAATTATCAACATTGGAAACCCATTGGGTTAACCCAAATGAATACTTTGTATGTATTTTGCCACAAGCAAATTTATTGGAGATTGATTTGCCCCAAATAATTTAGTTTTTAGAACATTAAAGCCTTCAAGATAGGTTTGTAATGAGTTATTTTTGTTTTTTTCCTCCTAGAATTTTGAAACACAATTCTTGGCTTCCTACGTGTGAATGTTATTTCCGACAACCATATAATCTTCACTCATTTTTGTTTTGATATGTAATGAAATATTATTATTCGATATTTAAAACAAAACCTACATTTAACAAGAAACTTAACGAGATCGAAAAATGAACACGTAAAAGATCGTTGACTTGAACAGTATGTCAAGCTTTATTTGCTTAATTAACTCATTAAATTTCAGAACATGTCAACACTACACTTTTTCCCTCAACGACATAATCGTTACTTCACATCAGGAATCACAAACAGTAGCTAATTATATCGTAAGAGAACATTTTTTCGCACGATTTCTCTCTAAAATATAATCTGTGCCTCTACCGTCTTAAACGCTATAAAAGCTCTTTTCGCAACGTTTCTCATTTTTTTGTAGAAAGTGCTCCAAACGTCAATCAGACCCGGCCCCAAGCGCTAGCAAAGCCAGCAGATGTGCGGGTCAGAGAAACAACTTAAAAATGTAATCTCAAGATTTGTTCCAATTATGACTGCTTGTCAGTCTGTAGATGGTCTTTATCAAAGGTCTTCAAAACATCTTTTGTAATTGTTGTTGTTGGTTGATGTGAAAAAGGGTGTCGCTAATGTTTTTATTATTAATCATCTACCTCACTTACATCCATAATACGAGAAGATTATTTTCCATTCTACTTGTAAGAACAGAAAAAATAACAGTCAAAATTACGACACTTTTGTTCGATTGCTTCTCAAAATAGTTTGCTAAATGAAGTGTAAAGGCTGAAATTCCGCGCGTGAATAGTATGAAGGGGTGTCATCGGTAATAGTTTCTTAAATTTGATGAGAAATCATAATAAATGGTTTAATAAACTATTATATACAAAATTTTGCCTACAAAAAACTTACAAATTTAAAATACCCAAACTTTTTGATTTTACCATTTTAATTTATTTATAAAAAGCATGAACAACAATGACATTAACTATTAATGTGTCATAAAGTTGAAGTTTTACAATAAGGAGGCTTTCTATAAAAAGTACATTAGCTATGGAAGATTAGTTTTTCTGTAAACCTGAGAGAGTGTTGATTAATTAATTTTTTGGCGAAAATATTTGTATTCGGGATATAATATGTGGTAGAAAAAGGGTTTATTTTCACTGATCACAATATTTTGGATAACTTTCGTTAACAAATGTTCATGTGTTAGTTTATAATATCAAATTATAAAACGGGTGAGCCTATATTTTGTATTTCTATTGCATTAGTAAAGATGGTGGTTATCAAATATACTGTTTCTGATCTGGTGTTGGTGTTGTGGTGAGTTTTCAGTGGCATTGACAATACAATAATTTTACGAGTCGTAATTGCCTACAATATTGTTTATTACAATAGCAGCTTTAGATGTCTTAGCCATCATCATCATTATCATCATTTTTCTGCTGTATGGAAGCCATAAAAAAGACTCCCTATTCTCTTCTCATCGTTGTTACATTGCATACAATCACCCTGAAAATATAAAGATATCTTCTCAATGAAATAAAGTCTGAAAACCCCTGCTGAAAATGACTTTGAGGTGAATGGTGTGTGGCCTAACCTCCAGGCGCCACTAACGTAGCCAATGTGTCGTCTTTCGTATCTATTAGTTAACATACAGAATTAAATGTTATAGTCACTTTTTTGCCCTGTTGAAGTAGATGACGATTATATCTAATTTAAGATGAAGAGTACATGGAGCTGACCAATAAAACAACTGAATACGTACAAAATGTCGTATGTTACCCACGGAGCATGAGTTTCATACATTGATGTTTATATTATTATAGTTTACATTGAATGTTAATTGTCGTTAGAATTATTTGTTTTGTTACAATATAATTGAAAGGGCAGAAAAATTCTCCAGTGTAGACGCAATATAAAGAATATTTGCCAGAATAAAATACAAATTAATATATTTTATGTTAATGTTGATATTTGAAGTTAGTAAATTCATAGTAATAAATTTACAAGTGGGTAATTATAATTGTATGTGTTATTGTATCTGACGGCTTGCGTGGGCGAATATATTGGAGCGTGTGTATACTCAATTTACCAATCAAAAATGCCTTGAAATTTTCATAGATATTCGGGCATTGCACTTCGATCACTTTAATTCCGGACCTTCCAATTGTCAAGGATAGATGCTACTCAGAGTGAAAAAAATCCTTTTGCTGATCGTTATGTCTCTGATATATCAGTACAGATTTATGTGCACATTGATGATAGCTAATTGAGAGAGAGAGAGAGAGAGAGGGAGAGAGAAAGAGAGAGAGAGAGAGAGAGAGAGTAAATAGAAGGCAATTTTCCAAATGGATCCTTTTTGGAGGCTGAACTAAATTTTAATAAATGAAGAGTAATGCGAGAGAATAGGCTGAAACGAAGAAACACAAGGTGGGAGACGAAATGAAGAAAAGAGAGTTAAACAAATGGAAATAAAAAAGGAGAGATAAAGAAAAGAAAATTTATTGTATGAGAAGAGATAACGGCAAAGATTGCGCTATTTTAAGATAATGATGCAATGATAAGATGAAACAACAAGGAGGATAAATGGAAAGGAACGAATGACGAGACAATAAAGGCAAATGAGATGATCTAGAAAAGTTGAGAGATTAGAGGAAAGAAAGATAAAAATGATACGAAGAACGAAGAAGAGGAGGAAAAGAGAGATTCATAATGGATGTTATAAGTGCAATTAACATAACGAAAGGAAGGAGCAAATACGGAGAGAAAAGGAGAAAATTCCGATGTTGCGGACGAGACTGAAATAAAAATAAATGTAAAAGAAAAAGGTGGAAATGAAAACGATGCCATTGCCTGTGGACAGGAATCAAACAAAATTACAAACAAACAAAGGAACAAAACGCAATAAATAACTAAATAAACGAAGCAAAGTCTGCTAGAGATGCAAGGGCAGTAGTGAGGCGTGGCGGGGCGGGGGACAAGGAACGAAGAACCACGAACGAAGAAGAGGGGAAGAGAGATTCATAATGGATGTTATAAGTGCAATTAACATAACGAAAGTGAGGAGCAAATACGGAGAGAAAAGAAGAAAAGTCCAATGTTGCGGACGAGACTGAAATAAAAATAAATGTAAACGAAAAAGGTGGAAATGAAAACGATGCCATTGCTTGTGAACAGGAATCAAACACAGGAACAAAACGCAATAAATAACTAAATAAACGAAGCAAAGCATGCTAGAAGTGCAAGGGCAGTGGCGAGGCGTGGCGGGGCGAGGGGTATGGAGGGGCGCGGAGGAGCGTGGAGGGGCGGCGTGGTCGGGGCGCGTGGCGGCGGAGAGAGCGGCGCGGCGCGGCGCGGCGCGGCGTGGAGCGGTGCCAGTAGCCCGGCAGTGCCCGTGTGGTCCGCACGCCGTTCGCACTGTCGCCGCAGCAGCCGCCGCCGCCTCAACCTCAACCTCTACCGCCGCCGCCGCCGGATCAGCCGCTCACCGCGCGCTCTCCAGCCCGCCATGTCTTCGGTGAGTGCACGCGGCCGCCGCGCCCGGCCACGCCCCCTCGCCCGCCCGCACGGCGCGGGCGCTCGCAACAGGTGGCTTTGCCCGCGCCTTCAGCTGTTCGCCCGCGTCTTTTCGAAAACGCGCCTTTCCACAGCAAGAGCTGCTGCTTGCAATCCTCTCTCAACGAGGCCAATCCTCGTACTCGGATATGTTCTTGAATGTATATGCGTTATCAAGCGTGTGCGATTGCGAAATCAAGTTTACGTGTCCTGAAAGAATTGACGGAAAAACATAAATTAAAGAGACGAAACGTACAGTGCAAATATTGCAAAACAATGGAATGGAATACAATGGGAATGTTGAAGTTAATAAATAAGCTTGTGAGTTGCGTAGTTGACTACGGTAATTTGAACAGCAGTGATGCAGCAACAATGTAGATTTCGAATTTCGAATTTATAACTTGAATAAATTATCTTGGAGTTAATGCTGAGAGAATTTGTCACAAATATTATACCATTTCTGTGGATGAAGTTCGTAACATTATGATAATTATTGTTTATTGTCGATTAAAATAGCTTTGTTTCCTCTGGCAAACCTCTAGCATGTTTATATACGTACCGTTGGAAAGCTTCGTGTAACTAAGTGCACTGGAATGTGTATTGTGTCAACAGTTTTATTGAAAAAATTAATATTTGTCATAACCAATGAATCAAAGGAAACCAGTGCAAGAGAAGGCAATGCGGAGTTTGAGAAAGCGGTGCGGTAAAGGTTGAGTAAACTTTTTTGCACCAAACCGAAGTCAACGTGCGCGCAAACGGCATTACCGCTTAACGAATAAGACACGGCGAATGAACATTACCAGTAATCAAATGACAATCCGGGAGCTAATGAGCGAATCCTTGGCATGACGAAGAACAATCTGTGACGAACAGTTATCCTAAAGTGCCGTGGAAGACAGTTGAGTTTGTCAAAGAACTTAATACTTTTTGAAGATGTGAAAATCTCTTTTTCGTCTCATTACACGAAATAGTTATTATTTTTAATGACGAAGTTGTTAGTCAACAGTTGCTTGTCTTGACGGTAGAAAGCCTTTTTATAGAAAGAAGAAAATTGAATTTCCACTGTGATAGTCGAATTCGAAGTTCAGTAAGGAGATTCGAAATACTTCAGTAAGGAGATTCCAAGTACAGAAAGTTTCTCACAATATCTTTTAAAAATACCATTTACGATAGTAACTTACATTATTGTTTTATCCTAAACCCTATACTTTCTGTTCATTCTTCGTGTGAATTGCTGTGCTTCAGTAATACGAAGTGTTAGATATGATCTACGTTTGTATATTTGTGTGACATTCTGCTTTGCAAATAATGTCAATTCAGTGAAATTCATCAATAATTCAATTGTTATACGTATAGCAAATACATCATTAGATAATCATTGAAATACTCTCATTGAAAATCTAATTCTTCAGAAGTTAATTTAATTTACAATTGTTTACTTATTATTCTTATGTTAATCATGTATACCTTGTTTATCTACAGTATTGATTAAACCAGTAAACTAAAACAACTACAATTAAGTTAGTACAATTAATCACAATTAGTACCTGTAACTATTAAATGTTTACGAACTTATTGGGCTGGGGATGACTATGAGTTGACCCGAGTATAAAAACTTGAAGACACTAATTAAATAATTTTGAATTTATTATTTCCCTGGAATTGCGGAGTATTGATTCCCCGGAAGCATCTTCCCAACTTCCGAAGCAACCGCCCAGATCTCTCAGGTGCATGTAAAGCATCCGCCGTTGGTCGATTCGCATTTCCTCACGCGACGCGTCCGTGACGATCGAATTATACGCCCCGAATGTCCGCGCCTCCACTCCCAACCCCACCAACTCCACCCCACTCCACTCCACCCAACCACTCCACTCCACCCCACTCCACTACCCACCCAGCCCACTCCACCCCGTCCATCCATCCACCCCACTCCACCCAACCCACCACTTCCCCACCCACTCCGACCCACTCCACCCCAACCACCACACTCACCATACCACCCAACCCCACCCCACCCCACCAACTCCCCCTCAACCCCAGCTCCACCCCCCGTCGCAATCCACCCCCGTCCCCCGGGCCCCCCCCCGTCCCGTCCCCGGGGGCCTCGTCCCCCGGCCTCGTCCCCCGGCCCCTCTCCCCCGGCCTCGTCCCCCGAGCCCCGTTTCCCCGGCCCCGTCCACGTCCCCTCTCCCCCGTCCCCCAACCTCGTCCCCCGGGCCCCGTTCCCTCTGCCCGTCCCCCCGCCCGCCCCCGGGCCCCTACCCCCGCCCCGTCCCCGGGCTCCGTCCCCCGCGGCCGTCCCCCGCGGCTCCGTCCCCCGGCTGCGCGTCCCCGGCCCCGTCCCGGCTCCGTTCCCCGGGCCCCCGTTTCCCAGGCCCCCGTTGACCCGGACCCGCCTGCCTGGTCTCGCCCCCCCATCCCGCCCCCCGCCCCCCGCCCCCCTGATGCGCCGCCTTACAATCACACCCGCATTCCATCTTGCGGCACCCCCCCCGCTTCCACCGCCTCCCCACCAGACGCACCGCGCGCCCGCACACCCTCTATGACCCTATTCCCACATCCCACTCCGTGGTCTCCCGCCCCTGCTCCTACCCTCTCCTCCTCCTCCAACCCTTCCGTCTCACCCCTCCCCCAACATTCGCAATCATTACCAACTGCCGACGCCTCCGCTCCCGCTTTTATTTAATTGATAATGATCGAGCGCTAAGCCCATATAGTCCCATAAGTGTGTACTTGTTCCGCGCGGCTTTGGTGGTGTGTGTTGTGCTGTGTTGTGGTTTATTAATGTGCCCTGGCAATTTGCCCGGGTTGATCGGAGAAACCACGAAAACTACCCGATCACAACAGTCCTGTCGCTTCATTCCTCCTCCCAAACCTTAGGACTTCCCCGCGTCACTGGTACTGCCAGTGACACAATTAATGTCTGAAACACCTCCCCACTGTTCCGCTTGTCGCACAAACCACCCCCTCTCCAGTCTTGCTCCCTCCCTCGCTTACGACTTCTGTCTCGCTCCCGTCACCATTTCCCTCCGCCCCTATACCCCTTCCCCCTCCCCTTGTTTTTCCCCCCGCCGCCCCCTTCCCCTCCCCTCTCCCCGCCCCTTCGCCCTCCCCTTCCCACCCCTTCCCCGCCCTTCCGCCCACCCCGCCCCTCCCCCGTCCATTCCCCCCCTTCTCCGTCCCTTTCCCCCGTTCTTGCCCCTCCTTGCCCCTTCTCCGCCCTGCCAACACCCACAATGCTAAGCGCCTTGAGAGTTGCGCCAACATTCAAAAGTGAAACCAAGATTCGGCTGCGAACTTGCGGCGTCGGGTCTCACGAGTAAAGGGAGCCATCGTGACGAAAGGCGCCTCGACGGGCACGACCGCTGAACGTCGTCGGGCGGCGGGCGGCGCGTCCCAGAGCGATGAGCACGCAGAAGAGCGAGGAATGGGAATCCGGGAGGCCCGAGTCTCCTCTTGACCCACATCTTCCCGCAAAGGTTCCTCATCGTTTCTCGCATTCTTCTGGCTATTCTGGAACTCGTTTTGCCTTGCAAATGGAAATGTCAAGATCTCTTGGAGATAAGAGTCGGGTACCACAGACCAGCGAGGTCAAGAAATGTGCCAGTTAAATAATAACAAGTCTTCGCGTCATATTTGAAATTTCACGTAACGTATGATTTTGGAAATGATAAAAGTTAGTGGTAGAATTTATTAATTTATAAATATCTTCCGCTCTACAACTATAAAATGAATAGGTTATTGAGATGTGAATTTATGTACAACATTTTTGACACATTTATAAGAATTTACAAGGAAATAAAAGGGAATTTTTGATCTATATAGTAATTAAGTTGAATTGAATTCACATTGTATTAATACAATATTTGCAGGTGCAATTACCTTACTTGAATTAATTTAGAAAAATATTTTTATGTAAGAAATGAGATTGATGGGGGACTAGTACGTTGAATAACAAAATGTTGTTTCAAATGCTATTTATGACAGCAGTTGCTGTATAAATTATATATTAAATATTAAGATTTCATTCTTCATCTCAAGCAATGAAAATACATCTACTTTCTTGAATCAAATCATAAATCGAAAAGAGATATTTCGCTGATGGATGAAATGTAGGTTGATGGATTACGGAGTAAGCAGAAATTATGCTACTAATCATTATTGTGAAATGCTAAAACAATGTGCATAACTCAATAAATATTTTCCGAGTTGTGCCAGTGTTGTAGCCCATGAACGATATAACCGGCGAACAGGGAAAGACAGAGGCCCATATGAAAATTATTAAACAAAGCGTTTTTAACCTGAATGTTGCCAAGAGATTTACACTGCACACCGACTGCCACGAAGATTACTCGGATCCTATCTTTAAAACATTTCTAATAAAAAAAAATTTACGTTCTGAACATACATGTTCCTTTTAAAAACGTGACAATTTTTTAGCACCGACGTCATTGAAATAGAGGGATTCTGTGAATAACGAAATGTTTACATATGTTATGTTTAAATGAATAAAACAATACTTCAGTTTTCGATACCGATTATTTATTTTGAACATTACGCTGCTTTGTACTGACTTTAATGTATTATGCTTTTTTACTCGTTTTAAACTGAATTAACACAGTTATTAATACAATTATTGAAATACAGCACATAATTTTCAGTCCAAACATTACTTATTAAATTCACTACGTGTGTCAAAATATAGTGCGTTGTTCAAAATAAATAATGGATGTATTAATCCGTAATATTGTTTTTTTTCTGCTAATATATCACTGTTTATCATATTCGTGGGCCTCTGTAGCAACAAATGCTGTGAGCTTTAGAACAGAAGTGCTTTAGAAATATTCACATTTTTCAATCGACACAGAAATCTAAAATTCTTCTCAATGAACAAGCCAACATCTCTGTATCTTCTCTGATAACCATTCCCCCCATCCACCATCTGACTTTGCCGCCTACTCA